GGCTTATTCATGATCAAGTCTTTCTTTTTTAAAAGTGATATAGTATGAATAACTGCATACAATGTATACAATAAAATGTATTGTTTATTTCTACAAAATTTGACGACTGGTAATTTAATCTAAAATTGATTTATTCACATTAAAAACAAAATTGTACTTGGAAAGGATATAAAAAACAAGCTGCCTCTTGGCTGAGATAGCTCCACTGTTAGCAATGCACATTTCAATTAAAGAACAGAAGATATCATTAGAAAATGAACAATATGCATAGTATCAATGCAATGGAACTTGCTGTTTTCAACAAGAATTAAAAAATATAATTTTTCACCATAAATGATTGTGGTTTTTAACAAGAAGAAAATATCACTTTTTACCAAAAATGACAAAAATATTCATCAAAATAGAGAATTGAAGATATCATCATGAAATGAACAAATTTGAGAGTAGTCCACATGTAGTACCTATATATGTAATATCAAAGCAATTGGACTTGTCAATTTTAACAAGTAGAAAATATCACTTTTTATCAAAAATGACAAAAATATTCACCAAAATTAGAGAATAAAAGATATCATTACAAAATGAACAAATCTGAATGAAGTCCACATGTAGTACCTATATATGTAATATCAAAGTAATTGGACTTGCAGTTTTTAACAAGAAGTCGAAAATATCACTTTTTACCAAAAATGACAAAAATATTAACCAAAATTAGAGAATTGAAGATATGATCATGAAATGAACAAATCTGAGAGAGATCTACCCAAGGTACATATACACCGAGTATCAAAGCATTCAGGCTTGTAGTTTTCAAGAAGAAGTCGAAAAAGTAAAACATTGACACGGACGACGGACGACGACGGACAATCACTCATATGATAAGCTCCGCTCGACAAAGTCGACAGCGGAGCTAAAAAAAAATGTTTTCACCGGATACTTGTCAACTTAAATTGTAAAATTGTTGTGTAAACGACCGATATAACACGATATAATATATTCGTGTTTTTTTTCATTGTGGATTAGGATTTCATATTGCACCTCTTGACTTTACCAACTCTGTACAACGTACAACGGAACTGGTATATGGCTTTTTTACACTATGTAGAATAGAACTGAAATGTTTGAGGTGAAATTTCAATTGTTATGTATCTTACCCGGCCTGTTGAATACAAGCTGTGCCGTAATGTTGTTAAATAAGTCTAAAATTCTGTGTTTTTCAAGATAGTCACGAGCCTCTTCTTCTCCCTGCGTCGCCATTTTTATTATTTTGACCTCGTTGGCGACGTTACCATGGAACCAAACAGAGAGGGCGCTTTTTCTAAAATACTGTGGAATACTTTATTTTCGCTGGAATTAATTTTCACTGAAAAGGCTTTTTGGGCGTTTTGTTTAGAATTTATTTTCACTGATTTTTGATGAGTTTAATAGGAAATATAGGAAAAAAAGTATATTCGCTGGATTTTATTTTCACGGAATCATGTCTTCAGCGAAAATAGCGAAAATAAATTCCAAGCGAAAATAAAGTATTCTACAGGTGACTTTGCGAACAAGCAATACCCAACATGTCCCAACAAAACAAACGTTTCAGACTTTGAAATTGTGATTTAAAGTCATTTACACTCGCGTAAGAAAAGAAAAAAATAATCCAACTGTAAACACAGTTGCAAAAAAAAGGCAGTCGTCGTGTCGCGTCCTGTTCGATATAGAACTCATAGCAACGTGTACAACGCATGTAAAATACGTAAATTTGTTCTATTGTGGAATTTTTTGTGATTCTAATTTATAGTTCATGCGCGTTCTTACGTTCCTATGTTCTACCTGTACGTTTTAACATTTTCTTCTATGCTATCGATAAAGAGCCATTGCTCGAAACGTCTAGTTATTTTTAATAGTTATTTAGGACTACGATTACCAAATATTATCTTCTATGTAGCATGTAAAATACATTGTTTATTTACATAAAATTCGAACAC